CACGAAAGCAAAATTTAATTAGACGATGCAGGGGAGTAGCTTGTACAACCATGAAACAGATAACAACAACAACAAAAAAGGTATTGTACATTGCATTTACTGCCAAATAAGTAACGGCATGCTTTTAAGCCATTTAGAAAAGAACCGGGATGCCATTCTGCCCACCTCAAGCCCTGTCTATTGTCCATCAAAATGAGTTAAGAGGCTGAGAATGATCTTTCTACATCAACTGACATGAGTGGACAGTATTTATACACTGGCACCAAAGGTTTGGAACATTCATCTGGCAAAGATACCCTAATTCCACTCAAGTACTGACTAACTGACTGATTCTCTTTTAGTCCTGGGTTCAATTTCAACACCTTTTCCAACTTGAATTTAATCTTCTGTCCAATTTCGCCTGGAGCGGAATTCAGTGAACAAGTTGCTTTCTGAATGAGTTGAAGTGAGTTGTGAAGGAGTGCACCAAAAGATTCTAAGCTCTCAGTAACTTTTGAAACTGTAGAAAAATGTGCATGGATCAAAATTCACATCTTGATAAACAGTATCACTTCCAAACACCACTTTTGCTTCATGGACACATGCATACTCATCTTCAAGTTATGTAACCACTTCTTTTACTTGATTGAAATTCTCCTGATAAAATGAAACTGTGGATATCCATGTCCCCCACCTAGTTAGGACAGTCCATGATTTATTTTATCCGTCTTCTAGTGCATACATTTATTTATCCCCTCTTTTCACTCTCACTACATGTTTCGGCACCAATGTGCCATCTTCAGNAGAGTGCTCCAACAGAGGATGATAGACGTGACTCGCGTAATGAAACACGACGTAGGAAAGAAATATGCTGTACAGTTTTAGTATTTTAACACTTGACATTTGTCAGTATATATGATAAATATATATTTTAGTTATTTTAGTATGTAAAGACAAGGCATGCAATGAATTAGTTTGTCGTGGATTGGATCAGCACCTGAAGATGGCACATTGGTGCCAAAACATGTAGTGAGAGTGAAAAGAGGGGATAAATAAATGTATGCACTAGAAGACGGATAAAATAAATCATGGACTTAAATCAGTGCAACAGGACGCTAAAATATAACATTATTAGTTAGGACAGGTTCAGTTGGCAGAGGAACCTGAGGTAGGCAATCTTTGTAGAAATGGAGACAAGCTGGTGCTTTCAGAAACAGGTTTTTCCCACTTGCAATTAAATCGTTAACAGCTGGAAATTGTGAGCGTATTTTTTCTGCAATATGGTGTAATCCATGCGCTAAGCAGGTTACGTGTATAAAATTTGGATAAAATACTTGTAAGGCCTTTGCTGCTTTCAACATATAGGAAGCTGCATCTGTGAGTAAAACAAGCACCTCATAACAATTATTCTCAGTTTCAGATGGCCACAGTACTCGCAGAGAATCATCTACAAATCTTGCTGTTGTGCTATAGTTGGTTTTCTCTAGTACTTTGCAAGCAAGAAGATGAGGTTTGCTGTGTTCGTCTGGATGTAGCTTACCAACTACGAAATTTGTTATGTATCAGCCACATAAATCGGCTGTATCATCCACCGATATCCAGACACAGTTCCCTCTGATGTCAGAATGTACTGAATCCAGAGCAGATCATTTTTTCTAAGAGTTGATTCATCTGGGGTTTTCTGAAGTACACAATATTTCTCCAGAAATGATCGCAGAACTGGACTGCTTAATTTATTCCATGGAATGCTGCTGCATACTAAAGCCTTACAAAGATCGGCTGAAAATGTATTAACAGAGGATTTGGGTTTTACCTGTGAAAGAAGTAGTTGTGGTGTGCAGTTCTTCTTCCCCATCTTTGCCGTAATATACGCAGTTGTTCTTGAGTGTTGTTCAAGTTGAAATTTCTTTTCACATTTTACTTCCTTTGCGCAAACTTGACAGTACACAACGACACTGTCTGCTGAATAGTCACTATTACCCGACACCCACTGAATTTTTAAATATCTACTGCAGCACTTTTCTTTACGCATTTTCAGTACATGAACACTTTTTTGATGCAGAATATTAAAGAAAAGAGTAACACATTATTGTATTGCACTGTATTGGAGAGGGTGGGTTTCCCCATGCACTTAGACCAACTGTTGGTCCACTGTGCGTCCCCTTATGATATCCTACCAGTCTCTATTCCCTACCAGTACTGGTGCGTGCCATCAGTCCCAACTCAGCCAGTGAGTTTGGCCTCTACTGGCTCAGCGGTATCTAGATGCTTCCCCCATCTACCAGAGGCATTAGAGATTACTGTTGGGCGGGAAATGTCCTGAATTTGGCTCAGTGGCCCCCTTGGGACATGAGGTTCTTTTACGTGCCGTAAAGCTATGACATGGGACCCACAGCTTAAAGTTCCTCCCAGAGGACTTGTTTGCTGAATTTTCCCACCCTAAAAAATTCCACGACCTCTGCCGGGTTTGAACCCGCATACCTTGAGTCACGAGGTGGGAACGTTACCCCTAGACTACGGAGGCCGCTTGAGTAACACATTAACTGAAGAGACTTTTCTCAAGACCAACCCTCTGATGCTACTGTCGGCTGTGGTGGTCAATGGAATATAGGAAAATCTCACCTCCTCCCTTTCGAAATAGCCAAGCTACCTGTTTGTATTGTAAGTAGTAAAAGTGACATTATTTATTATTATTATTATTATTATTGGAGGGGGTGGGTTTCCACATGCACCGCAACTAATAGTCTGTTGTACGTCCCCCTTTGATATTCTACCAGTCGCCATACCCTGCCGGTACTGGTTGTTGCTATCAGCCCCGTTCAGCCAGCAAGGCTGGCAGTGGTACCCGATAACTTCCCCATCTACCGGAGGCATTGGAAACTACTTGGGCAGGAAACTTTTTACCTTTTTTTGCTCGGAGGTCTCCTAGAGACATGAGGATCTTTTACGTGCCGTAAATCTACGACACGGGACCAATGGCTTAAAGTCCCTCCCGGAGGACTTGTTCCCTGAATCTTTCTGCCCTTAAAAATTCCACGACCTCCGCCGGATTTGAAGCCGTGTACCTTGAGTCATGATGTAGGAACGTTATCCCTAGACTATGGAGGCTGCTGAAAGTGACGTTACTCAGAGAGTTGAGAATAGCAACTGGTAAGGGATGTCCAAAACACAGGAAAAACCGATTTTTTTAGAGAACATTGAAATTACCTTTAATTCCAAACATACACGATGGGGTACCCAAAAGAAAACAAACTAATTTTTTTGTGGGCAGAGCTTTTGTAGTACCGCGTTTTGCCGCTATGAGCGCATAGAGCTAACATTCCTGAGTCGATAAGCCGACTACCGTTGCTTCAGAAGGTAAGGACTAGTTTCGGCAGAGTTTATAGTGACAACTGTTTTGTGTGATCGTCGTTTTTGCAATGGCCCGAACACATGAAAATGTTGAAAAATTCGTGAAATCATCAAGGAAGATCGACGACGGACCATTGAAGAAATTGTGGAGCTGTCGGGAGTGACTTGGAGCTCAGTTCAGCGAATTTTGACAGAAGATTTGGGAATGAAAAGGGTGGCTGCGAAATTCGTGCCACGACTGCTGACTGCTGAACAAAAACAAGGTCGCGTGGAAGCATGCTATGATTTGAAAGAAGAGTCCCGAAATGATCAAAACTTTTTTTCAGCGTTTTGCTGATGTTGCTGAGGTGAAGGAAAAAAACGACGGAGGCACTGTCAAGCATCTCAAAAGACGAATTTAGACAATGTTTTGAAAAATGGAATAAAAGACTAGACAAGTGTATTAGTGTAAGTGGAGAGTACTTTGAAGGGGATTGAAGCTTTGTGCTTAAAATTTGAATAAATAAGTTTAAAAAAAATAAGTTCGGTTTCTTTTGGGTACCCCCTCGTATGCAGAAATATGCTCTTACGTTTAGAATATGCAATAATGACCAAAAACCCTCAAAATATGCATTTGTATATGCGCATATGCATTCTCAAAGAATCCAGGCCCCAGATATGACTTACCATTATGCGATAATTTCATGCAGATTGAACAATGAACACAGAAGAGTCCAAAGTGACTGTCTTGCAAGGAAAGGTAGGGCAATATCTTCTTGACTGTAATGCCATGTACAATTGCCACCGCCAATCTGTGGGCTTGACCCTCATCAGGCTTTTAAATTACTAGTACAATGCATGGCATACAGCTACCATCAACTCACAAGTTGAGTAACAGAAAATAAGGCCAAATTTTCAGACTGGTGGTGGTTACAACAGTTCTGTAGAAGTCCACAGATGTTTTGAAAGAACATATGTACTATGTACTATGTACAGAACTATGTACTGTTACATCCCAGAAGGCAATACACTTAATAGACACCAATGTGAGAACCTCAACTCCAATATAATAATCTTGCACATTTCCATATGTTATGGAAATTGGTAACATTCAAGTGTATATATTGTCCTGCTATCACATATTACACAAAACCTAATCTATTCTCTTTAGGTTTTCTTCATGGCCATGGTTTTATGATACAATGTAAGACTGTTGAAATATTTTCAAGGCAGAAGGAATTCTATGGTCAAACAAACATGCAAACCACTAACCTCACTAACCTATTACAGGTCATGTGGTAGTGCAGTTGGTTGTGACACCATGCTCCAAGCTGGAAGGTCACGGGTTCAATTCTCAATGAGACCACTGGATTTTTAATTGACCTAATCCTTCCAGCTGCACTATGACTCAGGGGTCAACTCAGCCTCTTAACAGAAATGAGAACCAGGAAACTTCCTGGGGGTAAAGGGTAGCTGGTACACAAAGCTGACAACCTCACCACCATCTGTGTGCAAACTGTCTAGAAAACTGTTGGAGCCTCAATGTCTGACAACCCTATGGGCCTTCACGGCCTGTTTCAGGAACAGCTTTACCTTTTTCTTACTAACCTATGATAAAATGGCTTCAATTAATTATGCAAACTATTACATCATTCATTATTTGGTACAAAAGAAATTTGTGAAGCACAAACCTCTAATCATGTCATCGGCCATGTCAGCAAGACAGATGTAGAAAAAGTGTTGGGTAGATGCTTCTCCAGCGTCCTTCACAGCCCGTCTCAGGATATCCCGAATCTCACCGGAGAGCACACACAGTGGATAGTCACTAATTTTTGGAATAGTTACAGGATTACTATGCTCTAGTTTAACATTCAGATATTCAGCTAATCCTTTCAGCCATAGCACTGGTGCTTCCTGGAAACGGGCCTGACCAATCTCTAGTTCACGTGTAAGTTCTTTTACATCGATCTGAAATCAAACATTTTATTATCACCATACTTTCATTAACACATAATTAATTCTTTGGTTATGGAATGGTTCTCTTCAACTTCATATACGAGGGGGGACCCAAAAATAACCGGAACTGACCTGTTGCGCGCGCATGCTTTGTAGTTACGAGTTGTGCTCCTAGGTGGTGTTAGCTGGGGGTCTCCCGCAACTGTTAGTGAGCTGGCGTCAGTCTGAGTTAAGTGGTTTGTCTGTGGTGCTCTGTTGTGTGCGTTCCTGTTTCAACCCTTTGGCGATTAGTGAGATGGCCGACCAGAAGAAACAAAGAGTGTGCGTGAAATTTTGCTTTCTGTTAGGGAAAACTGCAGCCGAGACTGTTGGGATGCTTTTGCAAGNTGTTCTATTTACATAACTTTTGGTCACAACCTTTATAAGGTGACAGCCTTCCCTCCTGCGTGATCTAATGTAATCTACCGACGTCATATGGCCGAATGACCTCATATGATTTCGCGCATTGCACGCGTGTAAAGATTTTTTTTAAATTAAATTTTTGCTCTACTTACGTGATATATGTTCACCATCTTCATGAGGAAACAGCCTACCCTCCTGCGTCATCTATGGTAACGTGGCCTTCGTATGGTACTGCCGAAAACATTCCAAAATGCAGAGTCCGACGTCGCAGCTCACGCACTTCGTACGAACGCTAGAATGCTTCCCACGCGAAAAGCACACACGACACCTCAGTTGAGATTTAGAGGAAGCAGGCCAGTGATGTCGAGCTGCGGTGATATTTATCCCCGCAGCTACAGCGGAATAATTATTCACACCTCTCCAGCCACACTTGTCTGGCGGTCCCCAAGTAGCCAATGAAGGTGATGACCCTTCGTCCGCGGAATCAGGATTCCAACTTTGCTCGCCCCTCTCAGAATCGGTTCAATAGCAGTCCGAATCTGTGTCATTGAACAGCTGTTTCTCAATTTCAGCATCTTCCATATGACGTCGTCGTGTATATGGCCCTCTAGCGGTGAATCTCTGTGCTTAGACCACGATTAGAAGCTATCAATCTTAACCTCGAGCCCACACATACAAAAATCTCATTCACGACTTGGCTGAACCCAATATCTACTTCATGATGTCATGGGTGACTAAACTTATATTGCGATGTTTCAAAATCATTACAAACACAATGGTTTGACTGAAATGAATGAACGAATGACCGATCTGGCAACACCATATTATTGAATTAACTCCCGTATCTTTCTAAAACATTACACAGCGAGCGATATCAGACGCATACAGTCGTGCATACTGAAATGTCCCATACGATAAATAAGCGTCAACAAGAGGCATCACTGAATGTGAAGTCGCCACAAGGACTTACACTGCTAAAACGCATGGTGCAGAAAACGTATTACACTGCTAGAACGCATGGTGCAGAAAATGTATGAATTTCGGGAATTTTTTGGGGGGGAATCAGTATAAAAATTTTTTTACAGATATTAAAATCTGTAAATTAGAATATCTGATTCTATATTCTTTCTACATTAAAGGAGCGTTCATTTCGTTCGTTTATCATAAAAAATGTAGAAATCACACCATTTTTAGAAACATGCTTACAATTTCATTGCCCTAGAAGGGCGGGCATTTAAATAAACTCCGTCCAGCTGCCCCTACTGGAAATTAAATGGCCCGTCCGATAAAGGTTAATGATGATAGTTTGGGGAAATCACAGGTCTACGAGTGGTTTTCCCGTTTCAAATCTGGCAACATGTCAACAGAAGACATGCCACGTCCCGGGCATCCTTCGACAGGAAGAAATGACGAAAACATTGCCAAAATCAAACGTGCAATTGATGAATATCGTCGAAAGACCATTGACCAACTTTCTGAGGAAACGAACATCTCATGGAGCATGGTCCAGCGAATTTTTACCGAAGGTTTGCACATGAGACGGGTGTCTGCAAAATTTGTTCCTCGCTTGCTCGGAAATGACCAAAGAGAAAAACGCGTGAATGTTTGCCGCGACTGGAAGAGTGAAGTGCAGAAGGATCCAGAATTTCTTAAAAGAATTGTGACTGGCGATGAGTCTTGGTGCTACGGGTACGATCCAGAATCAAAGCAATCATCAAGCCAGTGGAAAACTCCAACTTCACCACGACCGAAGAAAGCGCGTCAAGTGCGATCCAATGTGAAAACAATGTTGATTTGTTTTTTTGATGTGAATGGCATTGTCCACAAAGAGTTCGTTCCGCCAGGACAAACAGTGAACCAACATTTTTACCTGGATGTGTTACGAAGATTACGAGAGAGTGTGCGACGAAAACGGTCCGAAATGTGGAGAAATGGGAACTGGTTGCTTCACCACGACAATGCTCCAGCCCACAAAGCTTTGACGGTCCGACAGTTTTTGACAAGCAACAACATGGTGATTGTGCCTCATCCAACTTACTCACCCGACCTGGCTCTGTCAGACTTTTTTTTGTTTCCACGGATGAAGAGAAGTCTGAAGGAAAGCGATTCCGTGATGTGGATGAAGTCAAAGAAAACACGCTAAAGGCTTTGAACAGTATCCAGCCTCAAGAATTCCAGCACTGTTTTGAGCAGTGGCAAAAGCGTTGGGACAAGTGCATTAATGCACATGGACAATACTTTGAAGGGGACTAATATACAGTTCAATAAAAATGCAAAAATAAAAAATAACAAACATAAATTCCGGTTATTTTTGGGTCCCCCTTCGTATGGTCATAAAAAACAAACTCTGTGGTCTGTAGTCCGCAAGCAAACTGTACCGATTGAGAGATCGGCACTTGTCGGTGAAGTTAGTACCAACTTCAGCGGATAGAGGTGTCACATCATCAGCGCAATGGATTCCCACAGCCATTAATCTCGGTTTCCTAGACTGGAGCCGTTATGTCCTTGAAATAGCTCCTCAATTATCCTCACAAGGCTGAGTGGGCCCCGTTCCAGACCCACTACTTCCCAGAAAATCTGGTAGCACCAGGAATCGAACCAGGGACCTCTGGACCTCATTCCTTACCAATGGAAAAGCTCTGTTTTTCACAAAATATGTCTTGCACTTCATAAATAAAATTGTTTTCCTACTGGCTCAATATTATAAATGAGAGTTATAATTCTTGAATGAATATTCTTCAACAACAAACTTGGTTGTTGTTACGTTTCTTCTTTGCTGTTTGGAAGTGAAAATATGAAGAACAAACAAAAAAATTAATTTAATTTGCTCATTCACTATTCGTGTCATTATGCATCAACTGTGATAAATCCTCCTTTTCTTAACGAAGAGCTGCTGACTTTCTGCTGAAATGGGAAGGACTCTGCATAGCAGCAGTGCAGTGAAATCAAGCATCTGCAGCCTATAAAAATAACTTACCAATCTTACTGCCATTTCCAGTGATTTTGGAGTTGGTGGTTTTGCTTTCATTTCCTTTTTTTTCTCTGGTTGCTTCTTTTGTGTTTTTTTCGACTCATTTTCTTTAAAATTCATTTCTTTGCCTAAGGGTTTATGGTTTTCTTTGTTGTTATCCAGTGCTGTGTACAGACTTTTAACTTGAGATAAAGGAACTGTAACAAAATTGTTAAGGTATACACTTAATATGCACTTTCTGCAGAAGGAATCTGTTAAATAACACTCAAACTGGGGAGAATTTGCAGACACTAACTGAATAAACAATCACATTAAAATTTAAATATTCATTATTATTACACACATTAAATGAAAATTATACGTATATAAGCATGAAGAACATTGAAATTTCAACGGGAAATCATTAGAAATAATTGTCATAAAAAATACCTAATGCCAGTAACTTGGAAAAGTTTTGGGAAAAGAGCTGGCTGTATTCAAACTAAAATTCTAAACAGAACAAGAACGTGCTTCTCCCATCTTGACAAAATGTTTCTGTCAAAGCTTGCTTATAAAAAGTAAACTCTGTCAAAAATACCAAACCTTTTTACTTTAACTGGAAACAGAGCATCACAATCGCAATGATCCTGATGAGTAACGGAAGCAAGAAATTAGCATGAAACAAGTGGCAACAAAAGCACACGGCTTACTCTTCACCCCTGAAGATGGAGGCAATGTGTTCCTTTAAAGCATCGACTGATTACACAACATTGCATCCCAGAAAACAGAAATCGTAACAAAATTTATTTACAGCTTTATTATCAATTTGAAACATATTTTGGAAGCTCATGTCTGTATTCTGTACTATAATTTCACATACAAGGTAGACATATGACAACTAAAATCTACTTATCGCAAATCACTAGTATCGACTTGCAAACCATTTTTGTTTTTATTAACCATTTGGTATGAATAATTGAAAATGGATAGGGCTTCAAGTGTGATGATTTGTATGACATATTGCGTGAATGTTGTGGGAAATTGTAACCTAACAGGGAATCTGGAATTTCACATTAAATAGGTTCAAACAACTTGTATTTTTTATGTGTGGCATAGGAGTGTAGTGTTCAGGTTGCATTCCATATTAATTTTAAAATATACTTTCAAGCCGATTTCAAAATTTCTGTATCTAGGATGAGGAGCTGAATATCAAAACATCACAGTAAAATATTTCTTCAATACCTCTGTTGCTTAAATATCAGGATTTGCTAATTTTCCAAGTGCTTTAAGAGTTTGTATTAAGTATTGTAACCATGCATATGTGTTGTCAAAATTGCATGTCCTGATAATGATTACTTGGAAATGCTTTTAATAATGCAAAGGAAATATTCATTCTTTTCATAATGCTGCATGATGTCCAAGGAAGGTAATACAAACTTACGTATATCTTCTACTTTCGGTGCATTTTCAATAAACTTTTTTCTTTCACTTTTGGATAATTTTTTTGCTGACTGCCCACTTTGTTTCTGTTTACTTTTTCCAACAACTTCCCACTGTCCAGACATAGCACAGCCTTTGGAAGTACGCTCGTTTTACCAGTGAATTAACTAACAGCAACCGCAAACATTGAACCTCAATTGCTACTCTTTACTTCATTACACAGCTACGTGACAATACGACCATACATTTGAGATCTCTGCCGTACTCTGACGTACACTGCCACGCAGCATCAACTTCCGTACTAGTCAGTGATACCGTGACGACCGTGACACTGTCTATACACGGTACACATTGACAATTAATCACAGAGTGGTTTGAGAGGAATCGATTAACTTTCAATTAAGAGAAAACAGTAGCAATAGCTTTCCATCATCCTCAAAAACTACAACTTGAATGCCCTCCAATAAAGATTTATGACACAGTTATCAACTACACAGATCACTCAAAATTTCTGGGAGTCTGGGTAGATAAGCATCTAAGATGGACTATGCATACGCAAAAGCTAGCAAACAACTTATGTAAAGTATGTTTTGAATAAGGGTAGTTAGAAGACTAACTGGACTAGAGACTGTCCGCACGTTATATTATGCTCATTTCCAATCTTTGTTATCATACGGACTGATATTTTGGGGCAACTCGGTAAATGCAAAAATTGATGTTTAAATTACAGAAGAGAGCTATAAGAGCTATGACCCAGGTCCCAAAAACGACTAGTTGTAAACAAATTTTCAAATCATTACATATATTACCTCTACCATCTTTGTACACATATGAAACTGTAATATACATAAAATCCATTTCGAATGATTTCACAACCAACTCAGGATTACACTCATACAACACAAGTAAAGAAAGATGACTTACACATCGTCCCATGTAATACAAGTATATCCAAGAACAACTTCAACAATGTAGGACTTCGACTGCTAAATCATCTGCCACGATATATTAAAGAAATACCGGTACTATATCAAAAGCGCTTTGAAAACGTCACTACTCGATCATTGTTTTTATAAAGTGGATGAGTTTCTCTCGAGTGAGACAAACACGAATCAATTATAACGACATAATTCATGAATAATCGGTTTTGGGAATCCCTACTGCGCAGTTTTCCTTTCATTCTTCCAGCAACCAAGATAACACAGTCGGAGATATACCTGAATGGGCTATTCTGGAGAGATTGCAGATGCCAAGAAGCTGCACCAAGAAAGGAGAACAGATGTAAAGAGATGCTGCAGTGTAGAGTCGACAGTGAAACGTTATATCAGTGGTATCACCAAATTCGCCAATGTTATCTCAAAGACCGCGGCATAGTTACGCGGTTAGTCGCTGGCTTCCCACCGCTGCGGTCTAGTCAAGTGAGATTTGTGAAGGACATAATGGCGCTCGGGCAGGTTTTCTCCAAGTACTTAGGTTTCCCCTGCCAATCCTCATTCCATCAAATTCTCCATAAACATTATCACCAGGAGAGGTACAATAGGACATATGGAAGCCGAGGGACGTGCCGAGGGGACCTAATATGGATTCCACCTCACACTATGTGAAATCTCAACTATTGTAATCTACTGTAATCTATTGTAAACAATTTTAAGTATTGTAACTTTATTCTCTTATTGTAATCAGCCAATGTACAGTAACTGACTTGTCCTATATCATTTAACAATGATCTACAGAGACGAAATAAATACTTACTTACTTATTTAAGATAGAAATTCCCTTCACAAACGCACAGATATATATCCTTCGACTGCTGACCACACAGTTTCAATCACTTGAATATTTTGAATATCGAAGCACCATTCTCTATAATTTTCGCGTCCTTTGAGCCTCTCAGTATTCGCGAAGGGCTTCGAAGTGGCCATGATGAAACTTGTTTCTTTGTCTTGATAGCGGCGTCAGTCCAAAGGATCACTTTTAAATAACACTTTTCACTTCTATACTTTCTACACTTATCAATGGTATGATCCTGGGCCCATAACCTGTTATTTTTGTTACTTCCACGTGGATCGAATGATAAGTGAGAATCAGTGTTTAAGACACTGAGATTTGATACAGAAGTACGTTTGGTGGCGAAAGGTTGTAGCCAAACAGAAGGAATAGACTATTTTGAACCTTTTGCTCCCATGGTGAAACATTCTTCAATGCGATTGTTATTTGCCTTAGCTCCAAAGCATGATTGGAACATTGACCACCTTGATGTCTGTACTGCATTTTTAAACGGAGATCTTGAAGAAGTTATGTATATGGAGCTTCCTGAAGGATATGACATTAAGGGGGCGTCTAATAAAGTTTGCAAATTAAGAAATTCAGTTTATGGACTGAAACAAGCCGCTAGGTCGTTTAATAAAAAAGCAACAGAGGTTCTAAAAGGCCTAGGGTACAGGCAAACTTGTTCCGAACCACGTATTTATGCCAAAAAAATGGTAATTCAATAATTAATATATCATTGTATGTTGACGACTTCTTCATATTTCACAACGACAATATTGAAGTTGAGTTGTTGAAGACAGTTCTAAAATACCTAAACACTACAAAGGATGTAGGTATTGTACACAGGAATTCTCAAATCACTGAATAAGTATTTAAAAAAAAGTTCACAAATTGTTTAAGGAGGTGTGTTATGTTGGCAACACTCAAATACTGAAATATAATGTTAGAGTTGGCAACATCATATTAAACAATATAAGAAGTAGGTTATGTCTTGTTACCTAAGTGATGTTTACTGTTATGTGTAACTACAGTTACGTGTGTAACAATAGTATCTTTATATTGTTATGTGTTACTATGGTTATAAGCCTGTATGTGTATATAAGGCGTACTTCTGTATCAAATAGCTCAGTCTTAATAAAGCAGGAGTAGAGTGAACACTGATTCTTACTTATCATTCGATCCACGTGGAAGTAACAAAAATAACACAAACTACTGATGTAAGTAGCATATATCTATTATTGATATTTAGTATAAGGTATGAATACCAAGTTTGATGTGATTACTGAATTATTTTCGGTGAAAGCTGTTAAAGCCACAACAGCTCTTAAGGGCTAGCGTAAAAGATTGTCAACACACTTAGGCATAAGCGGTCCTAGAAAACGTTAAGCTGTCTGATGGTTGACAGAAATTTGAGTAAAAAGAAAAGGTAGGGCTTTCCAAGTTTCCTTGTAATTGTTCTAAACCGGCTGGCTCTAATGGAACTTCATTTCCTTCATCTTGTGAGTCGAGGTAGAAATTTAACGACATTGGAAGAATGTCTTTAAGCTGAAATCCTTTCTCACTTTCTTTCTTGTTTGTTATTTCTTCTTCCAGAAATTCTACATCTCTTGCCACAATTACTTGAGAAGGATTGCGGGGATCTGATAACCGATAAGCTTTACTTTCCCCACTATATCCCATAAAAATGTACATCTTGCTCACAGCATCCAATTTTTGGCGTTTCTGTGATAGTACATGAGCATACGCTGGAAATGCGAGAATTTTTATATGGGAGAGCTCAGTCTTTTCTCCTGTCCATATTTCTTCAGGCAGTTGATTCTTTAGTTTCTGGTGAGGTGATCTGTTTAAAAGATATATGGCTGCTTCAGCCCAGTATCTTTTGTTGCAGCCGGAATCATACAACATACATCTTGTTTTTCCCAAAATGCTGCGATTAGCTCTTTCGGCAGTTCCATTTTGTTGTGGATTATACGGCACAGAGAATTCCCTTTTGATTCCCTTTTGTTTTAACATGTCATTGAATAATTTGCCGCAAAATTCACCACCATTATCGGAACGAACAGTTTTTATTGTCAATCGAGTTTCTGTCTCAATCATTTTCATAAATTCTTTAAAGGCTTCATATGTGTCACCTTTTTGTTTCAAGAAGTGAATGAAGATTTTTCTGCTATGATCATCCACAATAGTCAAAAAATATTTAGCATTCCCATAAGAGGGTACTTCAAATGGCCCAACCAGATCTAAATGCAATAGATCAAGTATTCTTTTTGACCGTTTGTTTTTTGATTGTAGGAAAGGCTTCTTTGTTGTTTTGCCTTCCATACATGGAACACATTTCTTTGACTGATCTTCTTGTTCTTGAAAATCGATGCCACTAGGTAAACCTTTTTTTGGCTACTGCATGCTAACCCTATTTAAATGCCCCAAACGCCTATGCCACAACAGTTCATCAACTTGCTGGGTACTTGCAACTTGTTCGTTCTTTACAGTATTAATACGTGATTTTTCTTTTTGGTATTAATCTTATCTTTAGTTGCTATATTTGCAGATTGGGTCATGTTAACTTTGGTATTTAAACAATAAATCCCATTTTTGGGATATGCTTTGGCAAGAACTTTGCCTCTTACCTGAAAATCATCAGAATCATATAACTTGCAACAGTCTTTGGTGAATAACACAACTGTACCCTTATTTACAATTGAGTTTACAGACAACAAATTTGTAGACAATCCCGGTACATGCAATACATCTGAGATATGGCCATAATTGTCATTCATAAGTTTTACATCACCAAAACCTGCACTGGTTAACATATTATCATCGGCAAGGGTTACTTCATGTTCCTTAGAATCATGTGTTTTATAATTTTGCAAAATAGCCTTATTTCCGGTCATATGATGTGAAGCACCAAAGTCTATTACCCAAGTGTTCTCTTTAACTTTAACATGATGAGCAGACACCATATACATGGATCTTTTACTGGTCTTATTTTTCCATTTATTTTCATTACACCTATGATCGGATCCTTCTTTATTTTCATCAGTACTATGAACTGATTTAGAAGACTGATTGCTCTTAAATTTTTGCCTATGCTGATTGTTATGATTCTTATTGTTCGCCTTATCCTTATCTTTGAACCAACAGTTTTTGTTTATGTGGCCTAGCTTACCACAAATTTCACATTTTGCTGGTTTACGTTTAATCTTATCTTTGGACAGAAAGGCTGAATCTGAATTTGCATTTTTACCAAATTCAGTATCTTGCAATAGCTTAGATTTAATGAGCTCACTAGTCAGAGTTACGTTGGAGTTTTCAAGCGCCATACGCATGGGATAATACTCTTTAGCCCTTTAACATTAATGCAGCTAATAGCTCATCATCTATTTTTTTTTGTCCATTGAGACTAGTCTGAGATTTATTGACATGAAGGCATTAACATATTCCTGCATGCTTTTATAGTCCTCAAGTTTCAAAGAGCACAAATCAGTTAAAATACTTATCCATCTATTGACTGCCTGATCTTTGAATGTTCTTTCCAACGCGTCCCAAGCTTCCTTTGCTGTTGTTGTCTTGACGACGTAAAATTTATCTTGGGGCTCCAATGTCAGACAAATGATGGCTCTTGCTTTCTAGTCCTTTTGTTTCTTGATGGATATAGGCATTGTGTCTTCTGCAGGATATCCTTTGACTCCTGACCACACAGTGTCAATCACTAGAATATTTTGAATATCGAAGCACCATTCTCTATAATTTTTGCGTCCTTTGAGCCTCTCAGTATTTGCGAAGGTCTTTGAAGTGGCCATGATGAAACTTGTTTCTTTGTCTTGATAGCGGCGTCAGTCCAAAGGATCACTTTTAAATAACACTTTTCACTTCTATACTTTCTACACTTATCAATGGTACGATCCTGGGCCCATAACCTGTTATTTTTGTTACTTCCACGTGGATCGAATGATAAGTGAGAATCAGTGTTTAAGACACTGAGATTTGATACAGAAGTACGTTTGGTGGCGAAAGGTTGTAGCCAAACAGAAGGAATAGACTATTTTGAACCTTTTGCTCCCATGGTGAAACATTCTTCAATGCGATTGTTATTTGCCTTAGCTCCAAAGCATGATTGGAACATTGACCACCTTGATGTCTGTACTGCATTTTTAAACGGAGATCTTGAAGAAGTTATGTATATGGAGCTTCCTGAAGGATATGACATTAAGGGGGCGTCTAATAAAGTTTGCAAATTAAGAAATTCAGTTTATGGACTGAAACAAGCCGCTAGGTCGTTTAATAAAAAAGCAACAGAGGTTCTAAAAGGCCTAGGGTACAGGCAAACTTGTTCCGAACCACGTATTTATGCCAAAAAAATGGTAATTCAATAATTAATATATCATTGTATGTTGACGACTTCTTCATATTTCACAACGACAATATTGAAGTTGAGTTGTTGAAGAGAGTTCTAAAATACCTAAACACTACAAAGGATGTAGCACGTTGTGCTCCAGTCCATGGCCCCATTGCAACTAAAACACTTTGAAGTAGGCTGCTGGGTGACAGTAGTGGCATCCTCCCCACTCCAACCAATCCATGAAAAAACACCGTTGCCAAATCGCCCAATTCATTGACTCACCCTGTAAAATGTCTGTGACAGTCTCACTTGAGTTACACACTCCAAAGATCACTGTAACTATAGCACACATAGTCTTCTCAGTTTGCAGTCTTCGCCAGTCATTGCGTGGTGATGGATCTGAACCATGGCCTCTGCTTCTGTGCTCACATTCTTACCAGCTGAAGACTGTCTCACAAATAACTCATTGCTTCATCTGTTCTGCTTATAACATCTTGGCACAGACTGCACAGAAAACACCATACCTCTGTTGCTCTTTCCATTTTTGCTTTCCTGTCTGTTGGGATGCCCACGTGATTGCTTCTCAGCTATTGCCTAGCAGTGGCTATTGTATAACTGCTTGTCCCACAGTCATTGCCTAACAGTGGGTCTGCATACCACAATATCATTAAAATCAGAGATATATATATATATATTTGTTCCATTCAGTGTTTTGGCCTAGAATGCCGTAGTTTGCCAGATGTTGCCAAAATACTACAGCCTGCTTAGGTGACATGACACTTCTTCCTGAGGGACTTCTATTATGACTGAGTTTTTTTTTTGGGGGGGGGGGTGTGGTGTCTGTACCTTTCCAGGAACATACCTGAATATTACTCTGAAAGGGATTGTGGAGCCTTTCAAATTGTTAACTTCTCACCATACATTATCATCTTCCAATCCCTTTCAACACTGTAAGCTCTACAGTTGAATTAATATTAAATAACCTAAGAATTATAAAAGAAATGACAGGCAGTAGGTTTATTTTGTTGTCCTTAAACTTTGTGTGAATGTCATCCTTCATGCATTTAATTCCCTGCCTTCAATAGTATCAGTATGGTCATGAGAGAATTATAGAATAATAATTGTTAACACCGTCCAGTGTGATTCAATTTGTAGATATTTATTGCCTTTACATGTTTCCGCCAGCTGACTGTCTTCAGAAGACATAAGATCAACATGTTCAGGAACAACTATTACATAATTCGTAATACATTCTTAAAAGTTTTTATATGAAAACTATAAAAGTTAAAAGTTTATTAATGTTTAATATCTAAGATCTTGAACATTTTAATTCAAATAATTGTAATAATTTTTATATAAAATCTTTTAAGCATGTATTACGAATTATATAATATTAGTTTCTGAACATGTTGGTCTAATACCTTCTGAAGACGGTCAGCTGACCGAAACATGTACAGGCAATAAATATTCACAAATTGAATCACACTGGATGGTGTTAAGAATTATTATTCTATAATTTAGTTTACTAGCGTGATGGATCAGAATGAATAAGAGTTAAGATTGTGACAACTTTCACTGAGACAGGATCTATGAGTATATGAGTGCATGTTTTGCACAGAAATATGTCATTAAGATGCAGAGTTAGCATTAATTTATAAGTCCTGCTTCTCCATATAGCTGGAAGCATTCGAAAGGAAATGTGTTATAGGTTCTTTCCAGAACCTGTTTAAAGTGTGTGTATAAATGACTAACCCAATTCACTGTTCATTCAATACATATCTGTGCTGTGTATTATCAAGATAAATAATTGTAATTGCTCATTTACATATACAGGGTGTCCCAGGAGGAATGGTCAAAACTTCGGGAGGGTGTTCCTTATGTTAAAAGTATGCCGATATAACCCAAAACGCCTATGTCCAAAGTTGAACGGTTACGGAGATAATGGTGCGAGAAAAGTGTGGTCTTCTGGTGGGTCCACGCACTGTACCTGTCAGCTGAGACGCCTTATCTATGTTTGTCCTCGAGTGCGGTGCTTCACACTAGCTGTAAACTCATGTGCTACGTATGGAGTATGTTGCGGCTGTGTTGTGAATGGTTGGTAATTAGTTGTGCGAAGTTGCTGAAATACCTTTTGTGTTTTCACACGTTGAATATTGTGATATGCATTTTGTGTATGGATTTTGCGGTGGCAATGCACGTGCTGCTGTTGAAGAGTACCAAAGGCGTTTTCCCGATCGAAGGATTCCATCTCGAAATGTATTTACGCAAATTCACCAGACATTGCGTGATACTGGTTCTCTTCCAAGTGTTTCTGTGCAGTTTGAAAGGGAGGATGTACGAATGATAAACTCACGAGAGAACATTCTTGAGATGGTTCAGAGAAGTCCGTGTCTGTCCGCTCGTAGAATTTCCTCTCGCATTGGCATATCACATATGCAGGTGTGGCGAACTTTACATGATGAAGAGTTGTATCCTTACCATGATCAAAGGGTACAACATCTGGAACCAGGCGACCATGCACAGCATATGGATTTGTGCCACTGGATGAAAGCTCTTCCCGAACTGTTAAGCATCATTTTATTCAGTGATGAGGCGTCTTTTACCCTGGACGGTGTAAATAATTTACGAAATGTGCATACATGGTCCCATAATAATCCACATGAGATAATGGAAACGATGTTCCAAAAGAGATTTTCCGTGAATGTACGTTTAATACAGTTATGTGGTCGGCTTATAGCGCAGTCAGCCATGTTACATCAGTGCTTGCCAGTCATGTGTCATGTATAGTGCTTGGAAACCCTAAGGACAATTATGACATGGCGAGCAAGTATTTTGTACTTCAATTTTATCGCTTCATGTCACTCACAAGTTAGTTTGATGTTACATACATTATTAACATTACAGAAACCACTTATTCCTGCCAGTTTTAATATGTATTTTGTAATCAACAAGTGTGTAACACCGGTCAGAGTTTCACACTTCTCTGGCCATTATCTCCATAACTGTTAAACTTTGGACATAGGTGTTTTGGGTTATATCGGCATACTTTAACATAAGGATCACCTTCCCGAAGTTTTGACCATTCCTCCTGGGAACTCTGTATAAGTATAAGGAAGTAACCTTCACAATTTTTCTGAGTATATGTATTTTATATTTCCAGTTGTGGTCATGGCTGCAGTTAATGTTTATTCCACAAATGTGACTACAGATAACCTTAGTCGACATGATATGTTGGCATGGGTTAATGATTGTTTGGCATCAAACTTTACCAAGATCGAAGAACTGTGCACTGGTGCAGCATATTGTCAGTTTATGGATATGCTTTTCCCAGGCAAGTTATCCAGATTGTATCTGAAAACAGTGAATACATGTAGATGGCTGTTCATGTCTGTAGACTATAACAAAGTATACTGACTATATGTGAATTGCTATAGGAAAACATTTAGGTATGCCACCCACAAAAAAAATCAACTGTAGCTAGGTGTTCATTTGTACTGACTGCGTCAGTGACTCATTGATGACGTAGTAATCACAAGTGTGCCATGTGGCAGCTACTGGCCCAATTAAATGGCATGGTGTCCAAATACACGAAGCAAATTCTGGTTATGTTCTTGATTTTTTTTGTTCTCCAAGATTTGTGCCATATAAACAACTGCTCCAATTAGCTGGAATCCACTGTATTCAATGTCATATCCAACAAATGTGTTTTCAGAATGGCAGTGGTTTGAATCCCGTGTGGCTAAATGGTGTTTAATATGTAGCTCCTTCTCACATAACCAGTTATCAAGAAGGAAATCACCCAGTCCATGACTGGAGAGTGTTGTCACTTGGTTAATGTAAACAGTGACTCACTGTGTTTGAATTCTTAAGGCAGATATCCTGTTCACAAAGTATTTTTGCTGCCTGTTATGAAGCATCAGTTTGTAAAGTGATTTTTGGAGTTATTGTTTATGCAGGGGCAAGTATTCATACTTGATGATGATTGTAAAAAAAGGAAGGTGTGTGTTTCATTCGCCAAAGGAGGTGTCATGGGGCTGGTGTGTTATTTGTAGTTATGCTTGTAAAGTAATAATTGTTGTGTATAGTTCTGTAGGAAAATATGTGTCAGAAGAAGAATGGAGAAAAGTTGATTTGCCAGAGTTCCAAGACCTAACAACCAAAAATTCTGTGGGCCAAAGTGAAATGTGTAGTGATAAAGAGAAATAGAACATCGCTGATGAATGATGAATATGATAGGGTGGCGCAGAGTGTCTAGTCACAGATATAAAATGTGCATAAAATCTATAAGAAGATGCACAAAAGAATGCAGTGAAACAGAGGCATTTCATAATGACAGTAGCAGTGACAATAACAGTGAACCATTAGTTGTTCATGTGGATTTAAATGGAATGTGCTTATCATATTGTGTTTAATAAATCAGTATTGTACAAGTATATATTTAGTTCATCTCTTACAATACAGTAAGAGATGACGTGGTAGCAAAGTTGGTTGAGGCACAATGCTACAAGCCAGAAGGTTGTGGGATCAAATCCCAATGAGGTCATGGGATTTTTTTAAATTTACCTAATCGTTACAGCCACACTATGGCCCTGGGGTTGACTCACCCTCTAACAGAAATGAGTACCATGAATATTCTTGAAATATTTTTGGGGGGTAAAGGGCGGCTGGTGCGTAAGGCTGACAACCTTGCCGCTGTCTATGAGATGATTGTCTAGAAAATGTGGGAACCTCAACATCTCACAACCCTATGGCTGTCCACGGCCTGTTACAGGGATACCTTTACTTACTTTACTTACAATACAGTGATATCTCTTTGTAGTGTGCAAGTGCCAACAACGCTGCTAACTCACCTTTGGCTCCTGTCAAATGTTCTGTGATTTGAATCCTTGTATAGTGTGCATGTGCATGTGTGAGGTGAGGCAGGGTGGTGGTGTGCATGCACCTCACAGTGGAGGGATTATGGGGGTGATCATTTATTCCATCCCTCAAACATCACAGGGCAAAGAATACTTGTGTAACTAATGCACAAGGCAGCAGAAGAGCAGCAAATTTAATTTTGTATTAGATTAGGTTTAAAACTTGAAACCACTCTTTTCATTATAGATGTGAGTCACTGATGACCCTGTATAAAGCTGCAATATTAATCATTACAAGAAAGAAGTAATATAATAGAAAGGTGAAAGAGAAAGTGAACATGAAAAAGAGTAAACTTTCATGTTGTATGTTTAAAGTTTGCACATTTGTTTTACAGGTATTGTTGTCATGAAGAGGATCAAGTTCAAAACTAATCTGGAACATGAGTACATTCAGAACTTCAAGATCCTTCAGGCAGCATTCAAGAAAATGTCTGTAGATAAGGTGAATATTAGTGAAATGTAAATGGTAAACATTGTGTTTCCCACTAATTTCAAGGAACCTCTTTCCAGCGTGAATTGTTGATTATCTATTATATGGAGGTGTGACACAGTTTATTAATATATTGTCATGTTCGGCTTTATGCATATTGAGATGAATATATTTTAATTGGTGTTTTGTGGTGTCTTGTGTGGTCACATGTTATTTTATTATTGCTAGTGGGGTGGGACTAAGTCCCTTGTACTGCGGCCACTTCTGGCCTATTGTATCAGCCCCAGATGATAGGTGAGGGTGATTGTGGAGCAATTGGTGGAATGAAGATTGGCAGGGGAAACAGAAGTACTCGGAGAAAACCTGCCCTGCGCCACATTGTCCACCACAAATCCCACTTGACCAGACCCGGGATCGAACCCGGGCTGCCGTGTTGGGAAGCCAGCAACTAACCTGGTCGCATGTCATACAGGGTGTCCCAGGAGGAATTTGCCAGACTTCGGGAGGGTGTTCCTTATGTTAAAGTATGCTGCTGTAACCCAAAACACCTATGTCCAAAGTTGAACGGTTACAGAGATAATGGTCCGAGAAAAGTGTGGTCTTCTGATGGGTCCACTTACTGTACCTGTCAGCTGACAAGTCTTATCGATGTTTGTCCTTGAGTGTGGTGATAACGGTTCACACTCGCATACCAGAATGCACTGTCAGCCATATTATGTCAGTGCTTGCAATTCTTATGTCATGTATAGTGCTTGGAATCCTAATGACAAATATGACATGGCATGTGAGTTTTTTGTAGTTCAATTTAATGGCTTCATGTCGCTCACAAGTTAATTTGATGTTACGTACATTATTAACATTATTCCTGGCAGTGTTGTGCTGCAATTTCAAGGCTGAAAATAAAAAAAAAAATGCCTAAACGTTACAAAAAGCGTTTACAGCAATCAAGCTAGAATGGCAACACTTGGACAGGCGATTGAGGTCAAGAATGTTAGAGTCAGCAAGGGCGCGCAATCGCTCCACTTCAGATGTGACGTTCTAAACACTGGGAGACCACGAACTTACAAAATGCAAGGAGGGTAGCTCCTTGTTTTGTCCGCGACAAGTCGGATTTAGCCAATTAGAATATACCACTTTAGAAATTGAGGACGAGAGGAGGAGTTAACCTCCCTCTTTTGCCAACTGCAGTGCCATCAAAATTAGTGTATAAAAATGGAAAGAAAACTCAATGGGGGATCTGATCTAAAGACGTAAGAACCAGTTGTCAGCCAGAGGCTTTATTCGATATGGGTCTTACAAGCGGAGGTGTTTAGCCTGCATCTCTTATCTCAAGTAAGTCACGTTTACTCACATAAGCCATGCTGTTACACTTTATGGTTGTTTGTAAATTGTTGTTTGATAAATGTGAAAGCAATGTCCCTTACGGTACAATAATAGAAATCATGTAACAAGTAATAGGCAAGGTTGCTAGGGGAGTAAATATGGTAGACGTTAGATAGTGTGTTATAACTACTGATTTTTGTGATAAACACATACGTAGGCTGTAGATGTATTGGTTTAGGAGTAGAATACATTAAGGGGAAGTTTTATGATAGAATAGTGGATAATTGTGAAATGAGTCGAAACAGTAAGGAGAAAGAGACAGACAGACTCAAGTCCTACACCCCAGAAGGGGAGATCATGATGAAGCATAGTGTGGTGCGGTAAAGGCACTATGTAAGTCCCTACTGAGAGTCGGTATTGTTAATATTGTAAATAGAATACAAATTAAAGTTTAAATAGATCAAGGACCTAGGGTAGGATAGAGATGGCGTGTCGAGTAATAGTAATGCAGAAAGTGACAGTCTCAAGCCTGCTGCTCCAGGCGAGAGACTAGAACGGAGTCAGAACTATCACGCCCTGAGACCAAGTGTAAACTGACAGACGTTGGCATTCTTTTATTGTACATAACAGTGTAAATAGATCAGTGTACTTAGGGTAGGATGTACACAGGGAGTTTCGATTTACTTCCCCGAACCAACCCGCCCATGACCGATCCAAAGCGATCCTGACCCAAGAGAAGGCAGAACTGACCCCAGTCAAGGGTGGTGACAGACTAAAGTAGTAATATTTTCTCACCCCCTTTAGGTATAACAAAGTGATAGCAGAGGTGGGGATCTGCCAACGCAAGGTGGCTGACGTAGAGAAAGAGTAACTGTGTTTGACTCACCCCTTACATTGAAGCATTACGTATGACAACGGCGGTAAGTCGAGTCAACGAAGGGTTGACTGACGTAGCGAAGGGACTAGCCAAAGAGAAATGGCAGCCGTAATGAATTAGTAGTTGTATTTAACCCACCCCCGTCTCTGACCATTATCTCCTTAACCGTTCAGCCTTGGACATAGGTGTTTTGGGTTATATCGGCATACTTTAACATAAGGAACACCCTCCCAAAGTCTGGCACATTCCTCTTGGAACATCCTGTATATTTAACTTCTATTATATGGGACATTTAAATTACACACAGTTAGCTGGAATGGTTTTCCATATAAATGCTCATTTCTGCAGTGGGTCATTAATGTAAGGTGTGTTTAATAAATTTTTTAGGCTAGATCTTCAAGTGAAAAGTGCTTTGATGAGAGTCAATCCATTTGCTTGTCTCTGAAGTTTTGAAACAACTAAATAGTGTATCGTATGTTCCTGTGCAATGACTTGTTTCACATGTTTTATTAATTTTTTCTTTTACAGTTGTAAATATTTGTTACTTTGTTTAGAGCATGATGCTGCAGTCCTTAAGATGGAACTGCATCGACAACTGTGGGTTCCAGGAAATGTATGACTGTCATTCACTCGATCAAGGGCTACATAACATAAACCCTTCTGTTGACAGTTGCTGCCTTTGTTAGCTGTTCATAGAATCAAGGCCTAGTGAAACAATTTATGTGGCTCATGTCTGTTAGCAAGCCTTCAATGAGAAAAGGGACTATACCCAGTTTCATCCTTTCTGATAAAATCACAGAAAATATTGTTTAATGCTTGCACTTTTTCATGTATATTCAGGATAGGAAATTGATAGGAATGATGGTAGTGAATATTTGAATCCCATTGTTTTTTAAGTTGGTGAGTTTATCTATGATTTATGTCTGAGTTTTGTGTATTATAATTTTATGGCATTGTGTCTTCCACTCAGCAGTTCAGTTTTATTCCTTGAGTAGCAGGTCTGTACACAGGAAGCAATTGTTTTTATTCCTTGAAAGGCAGGGCATAACATTCGTTACGTCCTGTTACCAGAACACACTATTTTCAGAGTAATGTGTGACAATTAATTTAATTCCTTCCAAGTGCATGCACTTCTAGAAGAAGATATAGCACAGACTGTTTTTGAGATGCTTGAGCCTGCTGCGAATCAGCTGAAGATGTAGATGTTCATCCTCCCCAGGGGCAGATAGACTACACATTATGGACTGATGATAATACACAATCTCAACCTTCAGCACCTGCAGTCCACAGGTTTGAAGGGGGTCCCACTGAATTAAGACAAAACAAAGCAGCACCTGTTACAAAAGACTACTCCATCATGCATTTTAATGCCTGAAATTATGTAACTGTTGGTAGAAGAGACCGATATTACCAACCCCCAGTCACGCTTAATGAAAGACATTCCCCACTGCCAGATATGACTATACAGGAAACGTGCTTGTTTTTACCAATTATTTTACAGATGAGGCATGGTCAGACAAACCATGAAAGAATCTGGTCCATACTAGAGCAGTTCTTAAGGCTTTACATGGAGAAAACAATGAAACAAGACAGATTGATTCATATTCTGAGATTTCTGTGCTTCGGTGACAACAGAAATGTGCCTGATGAGACATAAAAATTAAAAATGTATGAAAAATGACAACTGTGTTTTGATGAGCTCAGTGATGGACATGCTAAATATTTTAGTCAAACAGGATGTTCAGTTGGTTATATCATTGTGCTGTGGTACTGTGCAAGAAACCAGTGTGAAAGTAGGTGTTCTGCTTGCCACCTGCTTACACACAAGCTTCTTGCTTGGCTTATTCTTTGACCATGAAGATGGGGGCAAGATGTCCCTCCAAAATGTCAGTTGACTTTCAGTGGATGACACAGCATTATATCTCAGAAGATAGAACTCTTCATAGAAATATTCTATATAATGGGTACACAAATCCAAAAATGGTTGGAGAATATAATCTTCTAATTATATGCAGTGCTGTAGGATATATTTGTATAATGGGGCAGTCTACACAACAATATTCATGAAAAACAAAATATGCACTATTATATCAACATTTGTTTTATTTTTCTATTGACACTACATGTTTCTGTCCTTATATTGGGCCATGATCAGGTATATAATGATACTAGTATTAGTTCTTGAATTGCATTTAATTTCAGTATGGATCCATATTGTGCTCTTGTGAGTTTTAAATGCATCAGTTGAATTTTCAGTTAAAACATAAATACTTAGACAGTAAAATTTAGAATAGAAAATTAAAACTTAAAAATTAACATAAAAATTGTACAGAAATGATCTCTTTAAAACTTTGTGACCTGTATGTGTTGATAGGTTTATTTGGTGGTAGAAGGCAATTATAGTATGAGGCACCTGTGCATTGGGATCTTCTCTCATAAATTAGGCTGTGTGGTTTTGATATTGCTGTCGTCTTGTGAAGCCTACGCTCATTATTCTGTGTATCACCCAACAGGCTGTTTATATGGAGTGATGTATACCAGCTTTTTATGATATGTGTACAGGCTGCTCCCTGTGATGATGTTGCCATATTTCATTTCTGTACAATTTTAATGTTAATTCTTAATTATAAATTTTACTGTCTAAGTATTTATGTTTTAACTGAAAATTCAATTTATGCATTTAAAACTCAAGAGCACAATATGGATCCATATTGAAATTAGACACAATTCAAGAACTAAGACTAGTATCATCATATACCTAATGATGGACCGATATAAGGACAGAAACATGTAGCATCAACAGGAAAATAAAACAGATGTTGATACGTTAGGGTCTATTTGTTTTTCACGAATATTGTTGTGTAGACTGCCCCCATTACATACATATATCCTGTATATGACACACAACATGCTGCATACTGTTAAGATTATATGTAGTACTGTATGGCAGTAAGATTAAAAAATGTATACAGGGTGCTCCAGGAGGAATGGACCAAACTTCGGGAGGGTGTTCCTTATGTTAAAGTATGCCGATATAACCCAAAACACTTCAGTGCAGGTGCAGGAAAACAGCATAAATGTTATCTTTTTCAATAAAAAATTTACATCAGGTAGAAACTCATGGAACACTTCTTTAAATGGTTGACAAAAAGAACTGTGCATATTAACAGCAGGCTCGTAAACCAGCACACATGACAGAGAATTTGCTGAAAGATCTGCAGATTGTATTCAGTGAATAAATAATCAAATATAAATTGTGAGGCAGGAGTGTTACTAGTGCTGTTTCATCAAGAATTTTGAAACTGTGTGGTAATACATCTTCGAAAAAATATGCAGCTTTTGTTATGATAATTTGTAGAAGATGAAGCACAATGCCAGCTGCATGTAGTATATATTTAACTTTCAGTTTGTTGGTGATGAATCATTGGAGCAAAACATGTGAAATTTTTTATGGAGATGAATCATGAACACACCAGTTTTTTTTATGAAATATTGCTTATTAGTGCATTCACCACCACGACCCTGCTAATAATAATAATAATAATAATAATAATTCAATTCGTGTGTATACGTGCAAACTTAACAGCATAGAGGCCAGTTACAAAGCTAGCATGAATAGAGAAATACACAAAAATAATTGAAGAACAAAATACAAAAATGATAGTCTATATTAATTACACAGTTAGCATGAATAAGATACAGAAGCAAACATACACAGACAAAGCCACAATGTGAGAATTTGAGTTTCAAATAGAGCAGCATACAGTACTAATAATAATAATAAAATTAATAAAAATAATGATAATAATAGTAGTTTAATTAGTTCAGTATAAGCTGTGTTTCATCAACAAGAGTTTTTGATCCAAAGACGTCAACGTCCCTACAGACAACATTAGCAGCAGAAGCGCGTCTATCATATAATAATAATATGTAATATAGTTACAGTTGCAACAGGAAGCAAATTCTGACTCATCTAGGATGTTATAATGAGTGCAATGTGCTCACCCTGACCTTAATTGAATTCTTTTTTTGGATTATACATTACATAAAAAGATAAAGTTGTCCTTATGCTTAACTAACCACTGCATGAAGGTGTATGGAGAGTGGGTTAACAGCACAGGATTAGTGGGGTTGGAAGTCTAGGAAAGTAGGCATTGTGAGTCCTACCTGGAACTCCATGTTATTTCACGAAAGTTTAAACATAAATTTATGAAAATTGACCAAATTATTTACAAACCTTAGAATGTGAGAACCTGGAATCCACAGAAACGTTTCTGTCAGATTACTTTACATTTGAAATATGTATTTGATATTGGACACCTCTTTGAAACAGCTGCTGTAGAATTATGGTAAGTGCAATTTTGAAGTTTAAAATTTTAAAATATAGGTAGGACCTGCATTCAGTACATGTGCTAGAGTGAATTTCCTTCCTGTGTATCTATCCACATGTGGCCAGCAAATTGCAGACTGCTGCACCAGTTACACCACCACTTATAAGCCACTGTGTACAGTATCTGATTTCCTTTCTGTCTTTGTGTTACAGAGACCATTTGTTTTTGTTTGCACCTCTTTTTGCATGTTCTGCATTTTTTCAGGACCGGAGGCAGTAGTAGAGCAGTTCTTTTGATTTGCAGTGATCCTTGGTTTATAAATGCACTGTTTTATTATATTTTTTTGCACATATGTTGATTTTTTCAGATTGTTCCAATAGATAGGCTAATCAAGGGCAGGTTTCAAGATAACTTTGAGTTTCTGCAATGGTTCAAAAAGTTCTTTGATGCCAACTATTCGGGTACAGATTATGATGCCTTGGCAGTTCGAGGTGGGGAACAAATGGGAAGTGGGGGTTTATCAGCACCTCGTGGGGGTGGTCATAATGCAAAACGTGCACCATCAATTGTACCAGCTACAGCTGCAGCCACCCGTCCCATCAGACAAGCTGGTAAATACCAAGGAATTTTGTTTATTAATTTTATGTCACATATTTAGAACTTTTCGGGCATGGAGGAAAGGAAGTGTCATTATTGTGATATTGTGGGCAGGTGGTTTGAAGTGGTAGGTGATTAGAGTTGTATTCAAATAGCATATTAAAGTGTGGTGGTATGACTTTTTGCACATCATTATTGCAGTTTGGATGTAGAGTGATTAAAAATGATTGAACCCATATATGTAAACAGTTGTTGATTAATTTCCTGTTCAGAATGGTCTGAAATGAGGAAATATTATATCAGTATTGACTCTCACCTTTGCTTTTGTACGAGGGGCGTTCAAGTTCTAAGGTCTCCGATTTTTTTTCCTCAGGACTGGGAGCAGATAGACACATGCGGTTTTGTTTAAAATACGTGTGCACTCTTTGTGAATGCGTGACAGAGATGGCAGAACTCTACGGCACACAGAACTCTAGTGGTAGCGGCGAGTGTGAGGAGTGTTTTTGATACTTAAAATGGCGAAATTTTCGTTACAAGAACAGCGAGTAATCATTCGTTTTCTCCACTTACGTGGTGCGACACCCATTGAAATTCATCTCCAGTTGAGTGAGACATGTGGTGATGGTGTCATGAATGTGAAAAATGTGAGTTCGTGGGCGCGACTGTTCAAAGAAGGCCGAACATCGTGTGACAACGAACCAAAACAATCTCGGCCTCGCACCAGCCGGTCTGACAACATGGTCGAGCGAGTTGAGAAAGTTGTTTTGGAGGATCGCCGATTGAGTGTGGAAAACATCGCCCCCAAAGTTGGCATTTCCGTGGGATCTGTGCACAAAATCCTGCATGAAGACCTGCGAATGCGGAAAGTGTCCTCCAGGTGGGTTCCACGAATTTTGGCGGATGACCACAAGGCTGCACGCATGGCAATGATGAAGGCATGAATGGGACTTTCTTTTCATCAACTGTGACAATGGATGAGACATGGATGCCGTTTTTCAATCCGCTATTGCATCAGCAATTTTCCAGTGGTCAAAACAGACTCCTACAGAAGCGTTCGCAGCGGCCATGGAATCATGGCATCGACGTTGTGAAAAATGGTACGGCTGCAGGGAGATTACGTTGAAAAGTGACAGAAGTTTCAACTTTTTTGTATGATTATTGTGTGAGAAAAAAATCGGAGACCTTAGAACTTGAGCGCACAACGTATGTGCTATTAGGAAAGTCCAAGAAAACCAGGAGAGATTTGAATTGAATGGTACATATCAGTTTGTGCTGCTGCTCATTTGATCTGCAAAAGCATAAATAATATGAAGAAAACAAATTCTAGTAGATTAAACTAAGTATAAGGATGTACGTCATCCACGGAATGCAGGAGAAAATCCAAGAAATTAAGAGAAGATTAAATTTGAGAACTCTTTGTTACCTTTCAATTCAGAATCTCATTTTGTCATCTGTCTTTAAAATGTGAAGATTAAAATTTACAAAGCTGTAATTTATCTGTTCCTTTGTATGAATCTGAAACTTCTCCAACCTTAAAGCAAGAACAGATTGAAGGTATTTGAGAATAGGGTGCTGAGGGGAATATTTGGATGTGAGAGAGAGGAAGTTAACAGGAGGCTAAAGAAAATTTTGTAATGAGGTACTCTACTCCATATATTAATAGTTTGATCAAATCTAGGAGGATAAGTTAGGAGGGATGCATATTGGAGATGAAGAATGCATATAAAATTTAAATCTGAAAACCTGAAGGGAAGAGACCACTTTATGGGACCTGCGCATAGATGGTAGGACACTTACTAAAATGGGTCTTACGGAAGTAGGCTGTGAAGATGTGGACTGAATGCAATAGACAGAATGCTAACCAATGGCAGGTTGTTTTGAGCACAGTATGGCCTTCAGGTGTAATGAGAAGGCACGAAGTTTCTTGACTAGCTGAGTGATCACTACGTTTTTTAAGAAGGAGTGGCCTGTTTGAGGTTAGTGATTATAAATGATCTTTTGAAAATGAGTTCAAAAAGTTAAGGTTGCCTACACCAGTGACAGTTCTAGGACATAGCGAAGAACATTCAGAGTTTGCAGTGCATGCACATCCTGCTAGGTGCATTGTAGTTAGAAGCAGAAATGGTGATACAGTTCAGAATGTTGGTTATATTCTGTGGTTCTAGAATGGTATTCAGATACAGTTTTAAACAAACACACTTTCAGCTTTGACATGGTATAAACAGACAGTCTGACAACAGCCATAATCTATAGGAATCTGTGATATACAAGCTATGAACTGACATTTCCTCAGTTGAGAGTTCGGAAGATGGCAGGGAAGCTTTTACGTGGTGCAATCCAGAAGTTCCCGAAATATATTAATAAAAACTATTACATCTTACATAGATGTTATTCTGCACCATCACGTACCCTTGGGAGCGCATACACCGATCCCAGCATTTCTGCCACTTTTCAAATGCATCCTGGAAGTCTTTCTTTGTTAGGGTGTTTAGAACCGTCTGCGTTTCCACTTGAATTTCCTCAACTGTATCAAATCTTCGCCCCTTCAACTTGATTTTCATCTTGGGGAAGAGAAAGAAGTCGCATGGAGCTAAGTCTGGCGAGTACGGTGGGTGGGGAACAACTGCCATCTTGTTTTTAGCCAAAAATTCCTGCACAGTGTAAGCCGTATGCGGTCGTGCGTTGTCATGGTGGAGTACCCAGTCGTTCGAGCGCCACTTCTCTGGACATTTTCTCCTCATGTTCTCCTTCAAACGCCGTAGAACATCGCGATAGAACTCTTTATTGACTGTCTGACCAGGAGGGACGAACTCTTTATGAACAATCCCGTCAATATAAAAAAAACAGATCAACGTGGACTCAATGTTGCTCTTGACTTATGGAGCTTTTTTTGGCCGAGGTGAAGAAGGGCTCTTCCATTGCGACGATTGCTGCTTGCTTTCAGGGTCGTAGCCATAAACCCAACTTTCATCACCAGTGACAACCTTAGAAAGAAAGTTTGGATCCTCTTGAATCTGTTGCTGAAGTTCCCTGCAGAATTTCAAGCGATGCTGCTTCTGTTCATTTTGCAGCAGTCGTGGCACAAACTTCGCCGCAATCCTCCTCATGTTCAGTTCCTCTGACAAAATTCGTTGACATGTACCATAACTTAGTCCCAAGGTGTTACAGAGGTCTTGGATGGTCAGTCTACGATCTTGCAGAATCAGATCCCTAACTTTCGCGACATTTTCTGGTGTTTTGCCCATTGACGGCCGTCCCGAACGATCGTCGTCATCAGTCAATGTTCGGCCATTTTTAAAACGCTTATACCAGTTGTAAGTTTGTGTCTGGCCTAAACAGTTTTCACCAAAAGCTTGCTTCAACAATTTGGGCGGTTCTGCAGCGGTTTTCCCAAGTTTGAAACAAAACTTTATACAGACTGCTGCTCTCTCAGGTCAGCCATCGCAAAACCGCAAACTCACGGAAACACAACAATGGAAATACGTTCACCAACAATAAACCCAACCACTCAACTCGGCGCCGCTTGCCACGCTGATTCAAGAAGGATATATGAGGAGACACC